ACAATCACAAAGCAGAGGAAAAAGTTGCAAGTTGGATGGCAGTCTGCTTGTTGCTGGGCGGCTCTGAAGAACGTGGGACAGGTGTGTTGACCTGAGAGGAAAGACATCCGTGAGTTACGTGCAAGTCAATTTCTTGTGCAGACAAAGATGTGTTAGGCATGAAACTTACTCAAGAGAGTCAGTGTTGGGTCTTTGGAGAGCAGGAAGCCGATCATGTTTACTGCTGCCAAGAGAAAGGAAAGGGGGGTCAAAAAAAAGTAGTCATGATGGGGCATTGAACGAGTGTAAATGTCTACTACTTTTCAGGCTGGCCCAAAATTTGACTTCAGCACCTTGCGAATCACAGGAAGAAGAGCAAAAAGTGTTGGCTGCAGGTCTGTGCTTGGAGGTCGACTCTGGCGGTGAGCAGGTTACTCCCTCTTGTGGCACAGAGGACCAAGAACCACCTTCCTTCAACTCTGAAAAACGAAATTCGGCTTACTGAAATAAGACTTCGTACCAGCAGGTGGCTCAGAGTCACATTTCACCTCATCGCACTCCAACAGCTCCATCTGAAAGACAAAGCACAGGTCGGTAGACACCAATTACAAACCAGAAACGCAGTTCCGTTGTACTCTGCTCCTCATTTTTCAACTTGCTTCCCGAGTGTTGATTAACTGGAGACTGGAACCTTTTGCTGCGACAGTTGCTCAAGCTGTTACTGGTCCAGTGACTCATCCAAGGTGGTCAAACCTGCCAACACCACAAACGAGAGACCCCTCACTCTTATTTCGTACCTTTCAACGGCAACGTTGCAAATGGAGGCAGCAATGAGGACCTTCTGCAAGCTTGTCGCATTTGTCTCTTTGCCCAGCAGGTGGAGGGTCACTGGAAGCTGCACTGCATGCAGAGTCAAAGAAAAAGCAGGTGAGTGTGCTTCACAAAATATGCAGTGCTTTTTGGGTGGAGCTTCAGTCACCAGTCTGCGTGTGTGTGACACAGCAGGTGGCTCGTGACGCCACGTTTCCTGAGGGCCTGCCGACAAGCAACAGGTCCAAACGTTGAGGAGGGACGACTCGGCTTCACAACGTCTATCGGGGCCCTGAGCACCCTCTGGT